CATTGTCACCTCTGCTAGACGGTAAGTTCCTTGACACTGAGCATAGTGCCTGGCACATAGGAAATGCTCAGTTAATGGATGGGTGCTTAGATGTTTGGCTGGCTGGGCAGATGGGTGGTTGGATGGATGAACAGAACTTCTACTTCTAAGATGTTTGGAAAAGGACTCAGAATGTCTAAGAGCAATCCAAGCACTGTAGTGGGATTGATGTGTAGGAATCAGCCTGCTCTGAAGTGGCTCACACGTTTCTGGCTCTCTGCACTCTCTTCAGAGAACGAAATCTTTGGTCTTCCAAACCTTGATCACTTTGGCTAAAGAGTGGCAGGACAACACCTGAGGTTGGACAAGCCCCTTGGACCCTTGACAGAAGCCATTTGTAGACATGTTTGCAGCCCAGGTGCGGAGCTTTGGAGTTGGACCAGATGGAATTCAAGCCCTGCTTCTGTCACCGCTTGCATGACCCAAGGCAAATTGATTAACCTCTCTGGGCTTCACTTTCATTACCTATGATGAAAGAATAATATCTCTAGCTTTGTGCGATGATAAGAAGAGGTAACATATTTAAAGTGCTTAGCTCAGGGTTTTGCAGTTGGTTAAGTGCTCAGCGATGGCTGTTGCTGCCAGAGTCCCTGTCCTTCAGGAGGGGCAATTTATTGTGAGTAATCTGGTACGCGTGGGACTGCCCTCAGCCTCCCTGGGCTTCACAGTACTGACCTTGCAAGATTGTAGGGAATAGGTCTATGTCAAGATCCTGGCACACAGTAGGACCCAGCATACAGTGACCAGGCATTGGCCACAAAAAGTAAATGACCCAGACTGTACCTGCCACAGGGAGATGGAAACTGAGTGAACTCGGCACGTGCCAGGACTCCAGACTGGCTCAGGTTGGGCTGTGACCATTGAGTGTGACGTACCCAGGTGGAAGGAAGAGGGGAGGATTCTCCAGGCAGGAATGGACAGGGTGAGGAGGCCTGGCAGCCATTACACATCTTTCCTTGCTGCTTTGTCTGGTTTGTCAGCTCCTTAACACTTCACAAGGGACTTTTCCAGTAGCCGCTTTGCGTGCTGAGGCGAGCGACAGCCTCAGCTTGGCTGTCTGGTGTTTCATGAATCCCTCAGCCTCACTCCTCTCTGGTGGAGGGCAGCTTGGAGAATTAGGGAGTGTGTGGCCAGAGATGGCAGGCCCCCTGTTGTTAATTTAGAGCAGGGCATGAACAGTAGCTGGATGTCTTCCCCCGTCCCAGGGGGACTGCCCTATTTAAGTCTGGGAAAAGAAGAAACCAGCCCCTGTCCCCATGTCTCTCCAGCCATTTCCTTCCTCAAATCTAGGAATTAATTTAAGTGAGCAGGCCTGTCTTAGAACTCTCTAGAAGCTTTGGGCCTATTCCCATCAACCTTTTGTACAAGTGTGTGGACTGTGCCCAGCATGGGTTCTGGCTTTCGAGCCCACTGTCCTCCTCAGACCAAGGGTCCGTGCTGAGGACTAGGCGTCTGTTAGCATAGGCTGAGCTGGTTTTCCAGGGCGAGACTTCTGCCACCTGACCTGGCTCAGACCAAACTCTCCAAGGATATCAGTGGCCTGACCCTTGTTCCTGGGTTATTCGAATGCGTGGTCATTTAGGTATGGTGGGTAGGGAGAGGTCTTCCAGTGGGCTTGAGACAGGGGCTGCGTGTGCCAACAGGACCAAGGTCCTAACAAGCCCCTACACGCTGCCGTTCCACTTCTCGCCCAAGCCTGAGTGAGGTTTCATGCGTGTGGGGTATGTGGGTGTGTTTAACATTAAGATGAAAGTAAATATTATTCCTTATTTCCTGGTGAGATAAAGGCTTTGGAGGCAGAATAAAATAATAATCAGTGTATAATTGCTTGGTATGTTCTGTTAACTTCCAAGCTCTTGTGAAGAACAGGAATAAGAGAGAAGTATCCTCAGTCTGAGATACATGCTCCTCCCACTGCGGGGGAAGACAAGGATTTGCTCTAAGCAGGTGCACAGCATTGCTGTGATGTGCTGAAAATGGAGGGGCCCGGTCCCTGCTAATGATAAGCTTCACCCTTTATATCATTTAGGGTTTATGTTTGCTTGCTCAGAATAGAAGAACCCGACTAAGGATGGCGAGATCAGATTGTGTTTTAGTTTTCTTACGAACAGGAAGCCAGAGTTAGTTCTGGCTGGTATGGGAGCTCCATGATACTATCGGGGACCGAACTCTCTCTCACTTTCTACCCAGATTTTGGCAAGTGGCTTTTGTCCTCCTTTTTGTCGCCTTGCGGTCCAGCATGTCTGAATTCCAGACAGGAAGAAGAGAAGGGTTAGCTAAGCCAGCTAAGCATGCCTTCTTTTAAAGACTTTCCTGAAAGACCCACCCAGCAATTTCTGCATTATGTCTTGTTATCCAGATTTATGTTACACCATCACCCTCAGCTCCAAGGGAAGTTAGGAAGTGTGAGGTTTTTGTTAGGTTTATTGTTGCTTTGGAAAAACTGGGGCAAGGAAGAAGAGAATAGATGTTGGGAGCTGTTACATTTGTGTTTGAGGGCCTGCTGTGCACCAGACGTGGTGCTGTGCGCTTCCTGAGCGTCATCTTGCATCCTCACAACCCAAGAAGATGAGGTTTGTTCCCATTTTGCAGATGCAGAATGTGAGACCAGAATGGTCAGGGACTTGCCTAAGGTCACCCAGCTTATATGGGCTAGAGCCAACTCTTGAATCCAGGTCTGACTGGCTCTAAACCTATGTCCTCTGGGTTTGTGATGCTTGAGAAGAGACACATCTGGCCAAAATGGTCACCAAGTGTCAGGAATTCCCTGTGGTTTTGAACATCACTGATTCCAGCTGCTCACAATGACAGTAATGACCTGTACAAGAAGGGCTTGTCTTGTCATAGCTGAACATCAGTGCCCTGCACGGCCACCTTCTCTGGATGGAACAGTCACAGCCGAGGGGGTACTTCATTCTTTCCCACCATTGTGCTACATCGAGCATAGCAAATCTATTTTGTAACAGGTCTCTTGGTTTTAGAAGTCGTATGTTACATTGGTGGGAATGTAAAGGAGACAGGAAGAGAACCAAAAAATATTTTTGTCTTAAATCCTGTGACCTAGTAAGTTAAATGTTTAAGTCAGGTAAGGTGGGGAAGTGGAGATCATTCCCTTCACCTTTCTTAACTGCTGCCTTAGCCTGAACAACGTTTAGGGCCTAAAAGCATCTTATGAAAGTCCCAGCGGCTATGGAAATAGGAGATGTTCATAACCCCAAGTTTTGGGGCCTAGAAAGCTGCCAGGCGGCAGGCAGACTGCCATTCTTTTACCTGCCCTCTAAAGGTTTGTTTGAGAGGAAATGCTGGTGTCAGTCTGAGAAAAGGATTTATCATTCTCAGCTTTATTTTTAGGATGCACTGACATGTATCGGGGGTGTCTGCGCTCATATGTACACACAAAGTAAGGACTAAGATATATAGTTATAAATTAGCTCCAAGGTTGGAAGAGACAGCTAAAATCCATGATTTAGGGTCAGCTTGTAAGAACAGTATTAAGTGTGGTTACTGTGAGTAAATTGGACTTTAAGGGCGTTTGGCTTTGACAGCAGCAGCTATTTTCTCCACTGCTTTCTTATGCCCCCCAGCGCCCATCCCAGCAGGGACGTATAGGTGCTCAGTGAACACGTGGAAGCTGATCGGTAAAGAAAGAAAAATCCCCGTTACAGCTGGTTGGGCTGAGATACTATTGAAGAAACCCTCTTTTCCCTTCAGTTCTAATATCACCCATTTAAGTGCATATTTGTTTCCCTGCGTGGCCTTTTCCGTTTATCTTTGGGGTGGGAATAACAAGAGGGTATGGTTACTTTGGTCTCACAATTGGAGCAACCAGGTTATAAAGCTTCGAAAACCTGGCCAGGGTGTGACCCAGCGGGTAGCTTCCAGTGGGAGATAGTCATGAGAGGGGAGTTCTTCGCTGTGGCCCTGAAGCTCTTTAGCCTCAGTTGCCAT